AGAAAGTATTTTTTGGGGACATGGAAACGGTAGTTCTAGGTTCTAATGTAAACCCGAGTGTCTTCAAATTATCGTCCAAAAAGTTGATAATCAAGTCTAATACTCCACAGAATTCCTTTCGCTTTGAGGTTTCGACTAGAACCAGCAGGATTATATTATGCCAGTAGATGCGTCAAATTACCGCAACTTACAACGCCACCTGAACCACTGAATTCATCACTTCTTTCCGAGCAAAGCCCTCTATCGAAGCATTTCTTGCTAAATATTCAACATTATAACTGATGTGTATTCCAAATGACATCATTTTTTGGTGCAAATATAATTCGGGAAAGGGATTTCAATCCAAATGTTGCGGTATTATTTTTTCTGTAACCAACATCATACACATGCACATCCATCCCAACATGTAACCAAGAATGCGAAAATTACAAACACCCGTGCGAAGCCGGGTCGGGCAGCTAGTAGTATATATTACATAATGTCGGTGATAAAGAACACCCCTGCCTCACGCCCTTACCAAGTAGGCACTCTTGTTACTTCCTACCAGGGACACATCTCCACGACAGTTGACTAAATTCTGGGAGAGGCGCCTACGCCAGGCATATGCCAAAGTACCTATCAAGTATCAACAATATTTTTGCTACATGTCCTACCAGACTGATTGTTCTATACTCATCAGAGTCTTCAGGAAAACTTCAGGTCATGCCCTTAATTCGTAAATATATCATAACATTCATTACTACTTTCTGGAGATACTGTCTATCCCTGTAACTTTACCGGATTTCATATCTTGCATTGCTTTTTCTACTTCAGTAAACATAATGCTGACCTCTTTATTCTCAGAACAGTTTGATTCTTGAGCATTTCTTGATTTTAGTGAAGAGAATCAACCGTTCCCCATTCCATTAGGGACATCTGAATAGAGTGTCGTCTTTGCAATTGCAATACCAGCACCGGTGTTTTCGTTCCTTTCCTATCCTGTGTAGGAATGACGAAAATCAACCCTTGCCATTTCTCTGCCCATTCGTTGATCTCGGGAATCAAACGCCATGTTCATCTACCTGTTTCTGTCTCGTGCCATATCTGTTGCCAGATTTGTATTGTTTTTGTTCTCTTTTTTTCGGATCCATTCCTTCGTATAGGCGGCGCCTCCTCTCAGCTACGAGATCCCAAGGGCTACTCCGCCCATCGCGTGGAGCGCCTCACCGCCTGTGATCCGAAGACATACTTTCTGTTGCATTTCCAGAGGAGCTTTTGTCTGCATGAAGCTATCTTCATGGCTTCGACCATACCGAAACGCCATACTCTCTATTGAGCTCACGATTAGTCTTCGTGTACCACTTTTTAATCCTTTCAGATTGAGAATCACCTGTGCAAGCACTGTCGCCACTTTTTCAACTTTTATCGAAGTTGCTTCTAGATGTGGGCGGAAAGTCACTTTTTTGTCCAGTATTATTCCTAGATATTTATCAGTATCGGCTGGTTTGATGTTGTGGCCTCCCATTAATAATAATAATAACATTTATTGATTATTAAGGATCCTCAGATCCTTTATAGTTTTGTATTGTCGTCCGTCCGTCCGTCCGTCCGTCCGTCCGTCCGTCCGTGTGCGCTCTAACTCTTTTTAAAAGTGGCCGATTGTGTTGAAATTTGGTATACGGGTACGTTGGACATTAAGAACGGACGCTATTGATTTTCAGGAAGCTGGTTCAACAGGAACAAAAGTTATACGACTTCGAGTGAATCGGGAACAGGAAAAACTGCGAACTCAATATAATAAAAATTAACATATTTCATTCCCTAGGTCATGTATCGAGTTCGGACTTTCGCTAGATTTATTCCCTATGACTCTTAGATGTGTAACAATTCAATATAACTCTTCTCTGTGGTCTCGGTCAAAAGTTTTAGAGCAAAATGTACCCAAAATTATTCTTTACACATGAATTTAGAGTTGTAAAAGTTTTCAAACGCATTATCTTGATGCTGAAAGAGTTGATAACGTGCACGTTTGATAACCGCATGTGTGTGATTCAAAAATGTTAAATTATTTTTCTGAGGCCACATGGATTTTGATCAAAATATGTCAAAATCGTTAATTATGCGCCAAGATCGTTGGGAAAAAGACTACGCGCATTATCTCAATGCCCAAGACATGAATTTGATGCATTTTTGGCGACCACGTGGATTTTGATCAAAACATGTCAAAATCGTTATTTATGTACCAAGAGCGTTGGGAAAAAGACTACGCGCATTATCTCAATGCCCAAGACATAAATTTGATGCATTTTTGGCGACCACGTGGATTTTGATCAAAACATGTCAAAATCGTTATTTTATGCACCAAGATCGTTGGGAAAAGACTAGGCGCATTATCTCAATGCCCAAGACATGAATTTGATGCATTTTTGGCGACCACGTGGATTTTCATCAAAACATGTCAAAATCGTTATTTATGCACCAAGAGCGTTGGGAAAAAGACTAAGCGCATTATCTCAATGCCCAAGACATGAATTTGATGCATTTTTGGTGACCACGTGGATTTTGATCAAAACATGTCAAAATCGTTATTTATGCACCAAGATCATTGGGAAAAAGACTAGGCGCATTATCTCAATGCCCAAGACATGAATTTGATGATTTTTTGGCGAAAACGCGGATTTTGATCAAAACATGTCAAAATCGTTATTTATGCACCAAGATCGTTGGGAAAAAGATCAAGAGCATTATCTCAATGATCTAAACATGAATTTGATTTATTTTTATGGACCACATGGATTTTGATCAAAACATGTCAAAATCGTTATTTATGCACCAAGATCGTTGGGAAAAAAACCAAGAGCATTATCTCAAAGCCCAAGACATGAATTTGATGCATTTTTGTTAACTATAAAATGTATTTTGTAAGATTAAAATAAATTGTCGTTAAAAGTGATTGTAATACTGAGGATCCTTCGATATTTCGTTGTATCGGTTTATTAAGTAATTAAAAGGTCGATTCGGCAAAGCCGGTTTTCAATCCTGCCTAAAAACCTGCCATATTTTCTGGACATACTTTCTAATTATAACATTATGATCTTATAAACATTTATAAACATGCAGAACTAAATTATATATTATAGTAACAATAAAATATACAGTGAATTTTTTTTAAATGCGAACATAGGAATTTGTATGCAATGTAATTTCCCTATGTTCGATTTAAAACAATCTCAATCTCAATCTATTGAGTAATTGAAAATAAATGAGTAGTAGATACAATTGACAGCTGTCACATTTTTAAAAATACCGCCGTCTAATTTAATTACGATATCGGTTAGGTTAATGCTTAGAATGTCAAGGAGGACACTTCGAACATTTATTGTAATTGTTTTCGTTATTTATTTTCTTATTTTCTTAATTTATGTATTGAATAGATCAAATTAGTAGAATACCAGGTGCACATGACCTACAAATAATTGAAGGTTGGTTCACAATGAATTGTGATGTCAGCACGTGCCATGTGAAGTCAAGTTATCGTAAGTTTAAGAAAAATTTATCCTAAAGTTGCTATGGCCTCACATGGCTTATTTAAAAAAATCTTACCGAGTGCTCTTCATCGTAAAGACTATGACTTGCTGTTCATAGTCACACAAGTTGCGCGATTTGGGAATGTGAACCGCGCACACCTCATAGATTGATGTGTTTTTTTTAAATCGAACATAGGGAAATTACATTACATGCAAACTCCTATGTTCGCATTAAAAAAAACACTGTATCTATATAAACAACCAAAATCAACAATGAAGCAACAATTATGTTCTATATTCCTACAATCTAAATCCAAATCGCAAAAAATAATATGGTCAAAATGTACGAAACCCTGCATATAAGGGAAACCACCAGGACACTGGCAGAGCAGGATGGTTATACTATAGCAGGAGTATAAACTACTACACAGACGGGATACTCTCAAATCAGACGGAAGTAGTAACAGGAAAACCTCTGAGTCCGTAACTATTTGTAGTCAAAGGCAAGAACAGGACCTAAACCTCCAGACTAAGAATGCTGCATGAAATTCATGAAATGGAAATAGTATGCTATTTGATATAGGGGTTTCGACCTCGTTATTTGTTGTTCTGTGGTTTTGGCACGTGTTTTGACATGTGAATGTTAAAGTGAAAAGTAGGTCCAGCTCCAGTTTTGTTTGTTGCGATGCAGTGATCATATGAATAATCGTTTAGGAATATAAATTCCTGAAGACATTTTGGACTGTGCTTTTCAAGGTACTTTATCGACACATGACATTGTAGCGATTCTGGGCCAAACAAAAAATGTTACTGTCAACTTGGATGAATACTTTGGTCTATAGAACTAGAGTGCTACTTCAGCGTTAGCCTTATTTTACAATTGAAATTGGTATTCCCAGTAATCAGTTTCAGGAAAATTAACACTACCTACTGTCTAGTTTTATAATCTAACTATTTAGGCGCCACCGCCTTTAAAAATTGTTGGCAGTACATCGTTTGAAAGCTAATTCCATCGTCTTACTATATCCAAAAATAGTTTGAATTTCATCACTTCCCAAAATGCTTCATATGGAATAAGCGTTGATCATGATCGTGGTGTACCTACATTTCATTACATTCCACTAGTTGGTATTAACATCTCCATTAACTTAACTACGCGTTATTCCTAATCAACGCAATAACACATGATTTTAGTTTGCGGTCCACAAAATAACTAATTAATAAATGGAGGTCTAAAATTAAGCGATAATTCAGCTATTTTTTTAAGTAAAGCTGCGTGGATATCAAAATAAGATTAGGTCTGATGGTTAGACGATGGAATAGTTTGAATAATCACATATGCCACTCAAAATTTCGTACCTATGGAGATAAAATCTACGACTTGAAAATTAGGTCACATTTAGCACTTAACTTAGGAGTTACTTTTCTTGAAAAGTTGTGTTTCCTCCGGCTGTAATCGATTCAATAATGTTAGTGTTACATTGAGAAATAGGGTAAGAAAAACGCTTGCTTGGCTTTTTATTATTAAGAACGTGCATATTGAAACAGAAAGTAACAATTCCTTTAGTACCATTTAAATTGTAATTATAAGCTACAGCTCAGCTTGGTTGTTTTCGTAATGCCCTACCTCGGATTGTCTTCATAGTATTCACAATTATGCGCCTTTCCAATGTTTTAGATATAACCCCCAGTGTGTTCATGACTGCAACTAGGAGAGAGTGTGGGAAATATCCCGTTGTTCTGTCTTGAATGCCCACGGTTTTTAGAGCAGATTCGACGAATGTTTTTGGATTCGGCGCCATCCAAGTCGCATTTCTAATTTTGGACATTTTTGTAGCCACGTATCCCGGCGAAATGCATTGCACAATTATTCCCATGTTTGCATATTCGGCGTTCAGATCCTCCGAAAATTTTTCTATGAAAGCCTTAGAAGCAGCATAAACTGTTAATAGAGGACTGGCAAAACGTGCACTGGCAGAAGAGATGTTGATGACAACTCCTTTACGCTTCTCCACCATGGTTGGCATTATTATTCTGCACATATGGACTACAGACGAGATATTTCCCTGAATTAGATTTGAGAACAGTTTTTCTTTATCGTTGAGGTCTAGAAAGTACTCTGGGTAGGGATAACTCAGCCCAACGTTGTTCACCAAAACCCCGATTTCTAGTCCACTCAACTGTTTCTCTATTATGTGGTAAATGTCATTCCCGTGAGTGTAATCAACTGCAATAATTTTCGTTTGAACGCTGTACTGGTGTTCTGAAACAAAAAGCATTAAATACAAAACCAAACATTTGCCACTCTTACCTATGTCTTCTGCTGCCGCTTGTAGTTTCTCTTCACTTCGACTTATAAGCACGACATTCATCCCCTTTGCCGCCAGGGCGTCTGAATACGCTTTACCTAAGCCATCGGATGCGCCAGTGATTACTGTAACAATTGATTAGTGTTAATTATTTGAGAAATCTGGATGCTACCGTTTTTACAACATTGCAAGGTTAGCTCAAATATGCTTCCATTTTGACATTCTGCTTTAAATTTAGCAACTTGTCATCGATTTAACTAACATGGCACATTTTTAAATAATCGACAACGCCATGGTGAGGCACAAGAAATAAGTACCCTGTATCGTTGCTACTTGCAATATAAAAATCCATCATTTTGCCCTCTGAGTTATCCCATTAGGGAAATTGAACAATAAGAGCTTATTTTTTCTCTTTTTTCATCGTGCATAATCGTCATTATGCGTTCTGTTTCTGTCAAATGGTCCATATTTCACAACATTAAGATGCACATAATAGCATAGTTGTAAGGAAACAAACCGTCTGTACTGTTTTTTTAAGTAACTTTTGACGTTACGTTAATTTAAAGGTACACCATACATCATATCTACATGTTAAGGTAGTAAGAAAGAGAAAGAAATAAGCTTTCTTAATAACTTATAACATGACCTACATTACCCTATTTTAACCCTCAAAATATCTGAAATAATTTGAAATGGAAGCGTTCTAATTTTCATGTCCATACCTCAAACGATTTGAGCGTTAGAGCTTTGGTTAATAATCGTTAATAGCGGCCTTGTATGCCTATTGCAAAGGTAAAAATTGAAAAACAATCTCCAAATCTTGTAGGAATTAAAATTTTCAACCATCTCTCTACTACAATATTAAACAAAATAGTTTTTAAATATTTAAATTTTGTCTTTTACCCTCAAGTTTATTTCTCAAATCACCTCTGCAGTTGTCATGTCATGCCCTAATACAATATTATACTGTCAACAAGAAACAGTAGAGTTGAGTGATTGAAACAACAAAGTACCGTAATGTTTTTTTTTATTTTTCAACATAAAAATAAAAAATTCGAAATTAGGGGTGTGGTGTGTGTTTTGCGCGTTGGAATAGTTTTAAATGTAGCTGGCGATTTTTTGCCAGTCTGGAATTGTAATTGATTTTTGTTTAATTTTGAAGAAGTAATTTTGGATTCGCTATTTTTATGTGTAAAGGATGGCCGTCTGCGTAAATAAGAACCCATTTTGTAGGCGTTCTTTCATTAGTAAGGAATAGAGGGTATTAGTTTTGGGAAAATTTTTAAGGATTTGTGGTTAAGCACGCGGCGAGGGCAGTGCGTGATCCGGAAAGGCTAGAACACTGTTTCTTTCATCTTATTTTCATGGCATACCTGATTTGTTTTAAGTAAAATTTTTTTTTGTCTTCACAATTTTAAAAACATTTATGTATGTGCGATTTCTAAAAAAACTGTAGTGGCTATGAAAATTACTTCTATATCACTGATCTCGGCATGAAAATGTACATTTCTTTTTCCTTTCAATTATTAAATAAAGCAATGGCATAATTAAGTTCGGCCCATTTTTTCCGCTAATGCTGTGGACGATAAAGCGTTGTTACTAATAGGCAAATTTGGCTACATGTGTGCTGACTCCCTGAAGGCGCCCAGTTAAAAGTTGAATAGCTTGCTGCTTTTTGTCGAATGGTTTATTGTAGCATTCCTCGAGAATGGGAGAGCCATGGAGTTCAATGTCGCTTGTGGAGACTATCCGTATTCCTCTTCAAACCGTTTGACGATGGGTGGGTCGGCAGGTCTTGAACAAAAGAAGAGTTCGCACTTATCGGTGATAACTTCTAGGACTCTGCTAAAAGATAGACGCTTCTTGAAGTCGGAAAGCACTGTGGATTGGAGTCCCCCGAGAGTTGCGTCATCCAAGTACCATTCGCTGAGCTCTGAATCCACTTCCGATAGGACTGCTACACGGAAGCATAGTTCACAGGGGTCACCTTGTTGGACAGTGCGCTGAGAAAGTTTCTGCTTATCGTTGTAGAAGAGATCGCGTTGGATCGTGTTGAAAGTTTACGAAAATCGATTTTCAGTAGGACTTTTGATAGTTTTGCCATCGATGAGCAGAAAACCTTCGCCGAGATAATCAATCTTTCGCGGTTGTGTCCTCTTATTCTGGCACTCAGCTTTGGCCCCTATTTTGGCACGATCCACTTGTACCGTTGTATTCGAAAGTGGAGTCATCAACTATCGATGTAGTTGCCCCGACAAAACTCGAGCAAGTCGGTAGGAGCACAGTATAGGACATTCTGTTCAAAATAATCAAAAGTATGAGTTTACTTCCAATAGAATCGGAAGTATTTAAATGTTTCTTAAAGTTGTATCATTGTTAAGCGACAGAGTAAAGCGATGCAAGCTTTATAGGGGAGTCGATGGTGTCCGTCTGTCCGTGAACACGATAACTGTCAAACGCTTGGACCGATTTGGTTCAAACTTCGTACAGTTGACCTATATGCCACAAGTAATAAGCCTATTGAAAATGGGTCAAATCCAATGATCCCTTGGGGTCACGTCTCTCTGTCCCTGCCAAACGCTTGAACCTATTCGGTTCAAACTTTGCACAGTAGATTTATATACCACATGTAACAAGCCAATTGAAAATGGGTAAAATCAAATGACTCCGTGGGGTCACACCGAGGTGCTCTGCCGCTTTTTTAAACGCTCTTTATGGGTTTATTAGTATCTAAAACCGTTATATTACGTATGGGTTACACGCGATGGGTATGTATAATACCGGGTAGTCCGATGTTTCCCGGGAAATTTGGTGCGAGTGCACACTGATAATTATGTTACGAATTGTGTAATATTAATAATAATAATCAGTTCAAATTTGATAAATAATAAAAAGGTAACAAATCGAATGATGCTTAGGTATATACGCAAGAATAGTAAACGCCATAAAATAACGTTTGAGAGCTCAATTTGTGTTGTATAGAACGTCAAACTATAATATACCCTGCTCGTTATCTAATGCCTTAGGCTAATTGGTATATTTAAGTATGTCGGTATGAAACCTTGGCATAGTACTTAATACCTTTTTTTGTTAATTTTTGCGTCGATAGATAAATTTGATGTTGACGTAGGTACACTTAGTTAATTCCAGGACGTTACATTTTCTTATCTGTTTGGCTAAGTACAAAAAGATCCAAGTCGTAAATGAAATAGTTGGATTACCGCACGCGGCAAACGTTTAATTATACAGTTGCCAAAAACGTTTTATTAAATTATTACTTAGCAAAGAAAGAGCAATCAAAAATAGCGAGAGACGCTTAGTGGGGCATGTTGCATCGTGCAGTTTACTATTGGGATTTGTCACGATTGAAATCAGAAAGTCACAATCTCAATTTCAGAGTGTCTCTCGTGGACGGATCATAAAGTTTCAAGAATGGATGTACCTAATCTTAAATTAACCTCTAGAGATCATTGCCGTAGCTTATGTGAAAGGCTTGCTTTAGTATCGAAAGTTTCACTATTTTTGTAGGAAAACGTAATCAATTGAAGATGCATTCGTTGGAAATGTAAATATTGAAAGATGCTGTCAGATTCTGCACATCTTACTTGATCAGCTGCAAAATAATTGATAAGCATCTTCATCTAGTATTCGATTTGTGAAATTCAAAACGTTTTCAGTTCCTATTTATCCCAATTTAATAATTGAAGTGCTCTAGAAAAAAGGATGTTCTAAATACAGAGTAATTATTTTAAGTACGTTAATGCGTGCTAAGCATTTAGATTCAAATTTGATATTAAGCTTTGGAATTTTTTCATGCACACATAAAAAGAAAATAATTCAAAAAGAAGCCACGTTTCATTATAATTCATTCAAAGCTACAAAATTCTCATTCTGGTCAATGTATAATAGCGAATACCCTCTTCAACTAAATTTATTCGACTGCAGTAAAGTAAGCGGTAGCGTACATTAGTCTGAATGGAAATTGCAATTGTAAAATGCATAATAGAGATCATTAGCTGTGCAAAACACGTATACCTCACTGTTTGCGTTTCCTACCTTAAAATCAATTTCTAGACCTTTCCATGTATTTTTCTCGTTACCTTTCAGTTTACACAAACCGAAACAGCCTCCTGTTTTTGTATATTTGATAAAACATAACGTTTCCTATTTTTGAAACAAAATTTACCTAAAGAATGCCGTGATGTGCAAATTCAACTTCATCACTATTTACATAAATGGCACTAATGCAGAATAACTAATAAGGGCTGCTGGTTCATAAGCACAAATGCAAATTGCTTCAAAAGGACTATTTTCAATCGTCCCCACACAATACAGTGCATCTTGTTTGATTTACATTTGTAAACTTGACGCCACCTGTTTATTGTGGATTATTATTTGTGCCGATAAACTGTAATTAGCGATGGATACCAATGGCCATCGACATTTCAACATATAGAACGATGTTAATTGAATGCTACACAAGTATACTTCATTGCACCGAAGTGGCTGGAATATTGAAATTCAATGAAATAATAATTCTCCTTTCTACCTAATACCCCCCTCCATATCTGATCGAATAATATGGAAACAATTGCTTAGACGCAATAACCTATGTTAGAAAAAAAAGGGAAATCGATAGCAATTTACACAATAAAATCGACAAAGTGACCAGGATGTCTAAACCTCTCTATAAGGTTAGCAAACAAGAGTTTTTTCGGATGATGTAGGTACTTTGAAATTAGGCAAATTAGTTCAGTTTAGAAAAGGATGTGCAACGAATTAACAATAAAGGTACCCATCTCCAATTACATAAAATGACCCAGTTGCCAAATTCTTGACAGAACATCAGCAGAAACGTTTTTGACAGTCTTACATCCTTTACGACTAATATACACTACCCAAAGTCACAGTAATTTGCTGTATGTGCCATTTTATTACCAAACACAAAATTGTTCAAGTTCCCACAGGAGAATTTTTGTTGAACTCTTACAGAATTGAATGTAATTGGATGTTATATCTTAAACGATTATTAATTACGGTCAATTTTTGATTGGTACAAAATTGAAAATTGCTTTGTTTTGAATTTCTTCTATTGTTTTGTGTATATTTCTCTTAACACAAGACT